CATTAGGAAGTAGTGCTTATAAATTATATCAATCAGAAAACAGCCATGGTCTGTGGCTGGGACACCTGCTTGTTCCTCAGCCACTGGGCGACATCCCCTCTCCTCCTGGAGCCTGCAGACCCCCCAGGACAGGGCAGCCCCCAGGTTTGCAGGCAGTGGGATGGAAGGAAAGTTCTTCTTTGTCCCAGAATAGACACAGCCTGGAGTTTTCACAGGTGTCAAGGAAATGAAGGGGTCAGATCCCTGTGCTGGGGTAACTGGTGGGGCCTGGGGAATGGGGGGGGGGGGGGGTGTGCATTTTCTGCTTAGGAGGGGAACACTTGTGTTTTCTCCACTGTGAAACCCTCGTGGTTGCTGCCCTGGCACGTTGCCTGGAAATGCAACCTGCAAAACGGCTGCTGGAAAACACAATTAATTCATCAAACCCCAGAGCCCTTTTAAAGAATTCTAATTGGACCTTCAGTGTCAGCCTGAGGAGCAGGCTGACCAGAGGACCGGCAGGTGCCATTATTTTTATCTGCCCTGATCCCTGCACTGACCAAAATAACAGGAGCAGAAAAACAAACCAAAGCCAAAGGAAAAAATAAAAAAAGAATCCAGCCCCATGGCATGAGGCCAAAACAGCCTTTGGCTGAGTCTGTGCTGCCCCTGATGGGCGGGCTTGGGTGCAAGGCAGGATATTACAGCTGGGGAGGGAATTCTGTGCCAGGAGCATCAGCACAACAGAAGCATTTCAGATGACAGGACTTGGAGCTGAGGGGACTGGGATGTAACCACAGAATCCATCAGTTGCCTCTGACATCCTGAGCTCCTGGCTGTGCCCGAGGCTGAGCCTGACGTCCTGGCTTTGCAAAGATGCTTCAGAGCTTCTGAGGAGCAGATCAACAGGTTGGTTGTTTAGCTCTCACCAGCAGCCGTTCCTGCTCGGTTTTTACACCACACCTCACGTTGTGGGGAGGTTTGGACAGAAAGATCTCCCTGCCTGTGAGACAAGGGGGGTCCTTTTCAGCTTGGCCAGCCCAAGGGGGGACCACAAACCATCCCAGGGGGGTGAGTGGAGGGATGGAGCCAGTTCTGCCGCTTTCCATGAGCCACATTGTGCAAGGAGCAGCTGGGAGCAGAGGGTTTGTTCCTGTGTCACCAGCAAGAGCTGATATCACAGCATCTGCAGCTGCTGCAGCATCAAGGGGGAAAAGCAAACCTGAGAAATATAATTTTGATATTAAGACAATTATTTTTTTTTTAATGCATCCTCCTGGGTAACCTTGAAGAAATGAAGCTTTGACAGCCCAGAGTGACTGGTCATAGCTGCCTCACCTTTCCCCTTCTCTGTCCCCTTCACTCCCCCCACTCTGATTTGTGCCCTCCCAGCCCAAATTCACCTCAATAAGAGAACAGTACATGGCACAGTCTGACTTTCCACCCCAAACCAGAAGTGGCAGGGATAACATTTCTGAGATGACGAGGAGTTTCTCTTTCATATCCCAGACAAGCATCTGGCCAGAAGTGCAGTTACAGAATCACAGAATAATTAAATGGTTTGGGTTGGAAGGACCTTAAAGTCATCTAGATCCAAGCTCCCTGCCTGGGCAGGGACACCTCCCAGCAGCCCAGGCTGCTCCAAGCCCCATCCAACCTGCCCTTCAACACCCCCAGGGATGGGGCAGCCACAGCTTCCCTGGGCAGCCTGGGCCAGGCTCTCCCCACCCTCACAGCCCAGAATTTCTCCCTCCCATCTCAGCTCCAGCTCCCTCTGCCAGCTGGAAACCCTTCCCCCTGCTCCCATCCCTCCCTGCCCTTGTCCCAAGTCCTCCCCAGTCTGAATGTGGCTTCCAGTGCTTTATGAATGACGTTCCCACATCCCCTCCTATGATCTCACAGGTCACAGGAGCTGTGTGAGTCACCCAGTCACTTTTGCAGTTATCTGACCAACAACCATCTCCTGCTTCCATTTCTTGCTTAAAAATGGTGTCTCCTAGAAGACCTTTCCCATTGCCATGGGAGAAGACTGTGGGGAAAAGTAACTTGGCAGAAAATAAACCCCCAGGTGTTCCAGCTTGTCCTCAGGTGTCAGAGGAGCTGAGGATGACTGGGCTGAGATTCTGAGTGATTCCCAACTGGGCGTTAATGGTCCAGTCATACCTAGCAGCTGTGTTGGACTCTGATGGATCTGGAGGCACCAACACTGCCCTGTCCATCCTGGGAACCCTCACGGCCACACTCAGGAACCTGGTGGTGTCCAGGAGCTCTCCTGGCCAGACTGATGAACAGTGTCATTTATTGCAGCAGCAGATGCACCAGTTCTTGTCGATTGCGGGTGATAAATTCACAGGATCACAAGATCACTCTGGTTGGAAAAGACCTTCCAGATCATTGAGTCCAACCACTGCCCTATCTCTGCCACGTCCACCTCTCAGCCCTGTCCCCTGCCACCACATCTGTCCAGGTGTCTCCAGGGATGGTGGCTCAAGCAGCTCCTGGGACAGCCTGGATCACCAAGTCCAACTCCTGCCCCAGAACAGGACAACCCCAAAGTTCACACCACGTCCCTGAGGGCCTTGTCCAAGTGTTTCTTGAATATTGTCACCTTGGTGCCATTCCTGCCTCTCTGGGGAGCCCATTCCAGTCCTCCACCTCCCTCTGAGTGAGGAATCTCTTCCTAATGTCCAACTGTCTGCAAAGCACATGCAGACTGGTCCATACGGCTGGTTACACACACGTGGAACTCAAACAACTCTACAGAGATTCCTGAGTTTCCCAGGGATGCACTCGGAGATCCCAGGGCTCAGATCTCACCCAGGGGTGTCCCCATGGGGGCTGGAGGCTCAAGCCCATCGACTGGTCCCAGAGGTCAGGGGAATGGGCTCATCCCTGTGGTGGGATCTTCCCTGGCCTCCTTCCTCTCTCAAACCATTTGATGATATCTCACCTTGCAGGTGGACTCTGGTCATCCAGGCCTTGGTTGTGATTGGTGCAAAATCATCTCACTTTCCTGTTTGAAGGCAGAGAATGGAGAACCACAGAACAGAGTCATAGAACAGAATCATAGAATAGAATCATAGAATCATTCTGGTTGGAAGGGACCTTGAAGACCAAGTTCAACCATCACCTAAATCCTCCCGTTCAGTGCTTAAATCCTGTCCCTCAGCACCACGTCTCTGTTTCTTCTAAACACTTCCAGGGATGGTGGCTCCACCAGCTCCCTGGGCAGCCTGTTCCAGTGTCCCAGAACATTCAGTGAGGGGCGGTCACACCTTGGGAGGGGGCAGCTTCCTGGGAAGGAGGTGTGTTTTGATTCTACATTGAGGTGACAGCGAGCAGAGTTCACCCTGAGGACAGTGTTTTGTCAAATGGTGACAGGGTGTTGGTCCAGGGTGTCAAACATGAAGATGATTTGTTCCACAGAACCTTTGGGTCCCATTGTTGCCACAGAGCATGGCCACGGGGTGTCAAATCCCCTCCACCCTCCATGCAGCTCCTCTCAGGGTCAGCCCAGCACGTTCCCCAGATGTTGCCCACATCTGGAGTTGCCTGGGAAATTGCCAAGGTGCAAACTGGTTGCACATGAGCTGCGTTCCACAGTGCCCCAGTGCTGCACCTTTCCTGACACTGGGAACATGTCACCCCCAGCAATTGCTGCACAGTGGTAGGGTTGGGACTCATAGGACTAAGGGAAGGGTTTCCAGCTGGCAGAGGGAGCTGGAGCTGAGATGGGAGGGAGAAATTCTGGGCTGTGAGGGTGGGGAGAGCCTGGCCCAGGTTGCCCAGGGAAGCTGTGGCTGCCCCATCCCTGGGGGTGTTGAAGGGCAGGTTGGATGGGGCTTGGAGCAGCCTGGGCTGCTGGG